ACAGTGTAAGAGTAAAACTATTATAATAAATGGAGCATGTATAAAATATAAAAGAAATCGCAATTAACGTTTGTACACATAATTAACGAGCACTTTGTCCGAGATTTAAACAGCGATCTCCGGTGCATGACAGGGCGTGCAGCGAATTAGTTAATTTGAATTAATAAATGGAAATGAATTCGGTTACGGTAGAGGCGAATTAATTATACTCGAAGAAGGAAATCTAAGTGCGGGTAGACTAATTTTCTATGGTGGTTGGATACGCCGAACTTATATGGCTGAAACTAAATGCAGCTTTACGCGCAGCTGAGCTTCTTTAATTATAATTAACTGCATATCATTAATTTGTCGACTGCTTTTTTTTTTAAAAAAAAAGTTCACTGATTTCCTCTTCTAGATTTTTCGATAATAATTAAAACGTTCGCAATTATGAACAGAAAATGTAATAATAAAATATTTATGTATTGAAATTAAATACTGCAATTTAATATTCATTTTATTTTAATTATATAAAATTGAATACTGCAATTTAATATTCGTTTTATTTTAATTATATAAAATTGAATACTGCAATTTAATATTCGTTTTATTTTAATAATATCATTGAGATATGATAATGAATAAGCTCAACCAGAACATGCAATAGGTTTCGAGCTCGTGAATACTGATTGCACTTAGGAAATGATCTGTGATTTGTTCATAGATGAGGAGGGAGTCTACAAGCCTGTACCGGCACCGAAATCGGCACCGACCACTCAGAATAATAACAACCAAAGCTTGCAACAACAGGAACCGAGGGCGGTTGGCCTAGAGGGTAACGTGGCCGGGCTGGAATCGAAGCAGAACCGGGTTCGAGATTCCGGGCACAATATTGCACCGGAATACAGGATGCCACCGCTCTACGGGGAAGAGCAGAGCTCGAATCAGACTCAGCAGGCCAGCTTGCAGACTCACAGCAGCAAATTTCCGGTGAGACTCAGTACATGCATTTCAATTTTCCATCCCCTCCTTCAGTTACGCGGTGGAATTTCATTTATTGCAATGAAATTTCGAACAATCGAGGTATAGTGATTGGAATTATTGTATTGTACTCCTGTTCATCAAAATGTAATACGAAACTGGATTCCTGGTATAATTTTATATAAAGTATCTATAAAAAAATTGATATTAATTATTTTACATGAAAATCCGAAATATATGAATACATTTTTATATTTTATTTTTATATATTATTATATTTTATATTTTATGTATGATTTTCAACTACTGATTCATCCTGTATATTAATCTGCTGTTAACTTGACGTGCAACTTGCACGCTGAGTAGGTATTCACAGAACTACTGGATTGAAACAAGTAGATTCCATTAGCTAAAGTCTAGTCGATCGAATTCAAAAATTTCGTTCAGATAAGTGAAGTTTAAATAAAGCCTCTACACTACACACCAGATGGTTCCCTATACGGCGACTGGTCTCGGAGTCCGATGAAAAACTGCGTTAGAACCCAAGACGTAGCGCTTTATTCGGTATACGATATCCGCGTCGACTTTCTAGTTTCGTTTCTTTTATTCTTTACTTTTTACCAGCGATTCTTCTTTAATTGCCATTTTCTCTACCAAGTTCACGGCCGAATCTCATAAAACTGTTTCCTATTTAAAACCTGTCCTGCTCTATATTAGGCTTCATAATTATCACGAACAAAAAGTAGTAACATGACACAATTATCTCTTAAGAATTCCAATAAAATTTTTCCACCTCATAAACTATTAATTCGTCCATTTTATTTTATAAAAATTCTATTATATTTCGTCATTTGAATATTAAGAATATTCAATGATCCTCGTTCTCAATTTTCCTTCATTTTTTATCAAACGTTTTAATGGAATCGATCAGTTGGAGATTATTAACGTGAAGAATTGAAGTTGTTTTAGTCCGACTCGTTCGTGCATTTTCACTAACTGTTCGACGAAATTGCGGCAGCGTGTGCGTCAAAGCGAACGCTCTTAAGAACGCTTTGACATATCCTCATCCCGAGAGGAATGAAAGCATTTTATTCCTCCCCACCCTCGGATGTTCCACTTCGCCTCTGACATCGACTTCAAACTCGGGCCTTTTCCTCGGTCGCGAGAGATAAACGTCCTTTGCATCCTTACGTCCGCGTCAAAGCAAATTCTCTCTGCAAACATGAATCACGAATTAAGCGTACATACATTGACAAAGAGTAATTGATAATTTGCTTACTTTTAATACAGTCTTTTAATAAATATCAACCACAAACTTTATATTATTCATATTTTTAATCATCCAATTATAATAAATCTATTGCAATATTTTATAGATATCTGAATTGTTGAAATTTCATTATACATAATTCTCTGACAAACGCATAAAAATTCGCATTCCACTGATAAATAATTTTTATTTTGAATAGAATAGCTTGCAAGATCCGGTAAAAATTACGCCACATTGAAATTGCTAATTTACTTTCTCTGTTGCTAAAAAGATTGAATTAAACTACGATTGTGGGTAGACGATTACTGTTACGTGGAGCATTGCTCATCACTTATGCAGTTATTTGTGCAACGTGTGACTTCTGTAACGAGGAAGCAATGGGAATCAGATCGAATTAAGAATTCATTAATTCTCGTGTTCCGTTAGGCTTAGAATAAACGTCTAACCGCGTTTAACGGTTTGACGGAGCATCTTCATCTGTTAGAATGAATCCGCAGTTTACGGGTAATTAGGAGATTATCGACCGTTTCCATACTTCCCTGTTACCATTATTCATTTTTCACCTCTTCCGCGAAAGTAGTCTTAAGCACCTTGGAGAGAGTTGCTCATTCTAAATATCTAAATGCCTGCAATTATAGTTGCTTAAGTACTATAATGATTTGAGGACAAGGCAATAATTATAAGTTGAACAAATATTTAAATAGAATTACCTAAATTATTAGTCTTAAGCTTGAAGGCAATTGCATATTCTATGTAGAGATTTGAGGATAATATTTATAACTTGAACAAATATTTAAGTAAAAATTATCTAAATTATTGAACATAAATAAAATTTATCATAGCAAAAAGGAAGAAGGTGACGCGTTAATTGCGAACCAACTGATAGTCAGCTGTCTTATGAGAAAAATCGTAGAAAGAAAATTGTAGAAGAATCACATTTTCATGATTAGGAATTATAAGTAATAATCATTTGTCGACGGGTAAAAGTGACGCGTATCTGACGGGGGTATCGCAACCCGGTTCTAAGCGGCTTCCGGTGAACGGTACGCAGGTATGATGCCTCCTTTGTCCCGGCTGATTGTGAGAATCTCTGAGAATATTCCCAAGAACGCAACGTAACCAACGTACGTACGTACGTATACGCGTCGTACAACGAACTGTTACCGAAGATTTCACCGAACGCCACTTCGCAATAGGCGGATAACTAGAATGCTTGAATATGGAACACCTGCACCAGTTGCTTTCAATTACTTAGATAAAGCATTTCTGCGATTGCTCCGACGTCGAGATGCTCCATCTCTACGATAGTCCATCGTCCCAAATAGAAATCAAATAATAAATAGTCTGGTGCAACGAGCAGCCAGACGAACAAATTCACGCAAGCCACTAACTCAATTATTTTGTTCCCCAAAAACGGTACTAGACTTTACTGTTGAATAAATGTTCACTGTTTCATTTCTAACACCCGACATTAAATATTCCTTTGACGAAACCATAACACATTTAATTCTACAAACAAATCAATTTCCTATTTCATCTGATTAATTAAATGATTCCAAATTTGGCGAATATAAATGTAATTAATTTAATCATACTGCAATGGGTAAATGCAGTGTCGTTATTGAATACTAATCGGA